CTGTAGTATGGGTTAGTCAGTGATTCTGGAACTTTGGTACACAAGCGTTTTTTTGAGTAAAATGATGACTCATAAGTATGCTAAATAAAAAAACAAGATTGCCTGTTGTGTGTGTTCTATTTGATTTGTTCACAACATTTGACTTTTGCGCATAACCAATGAATTATTTATGCGAAGAAAAATTTAGGTACCCAAGCTTTAATTTCGTGAGTTTTGGTTGAGCTTCGGTTGGAAACAGGAGAGGGGGGAGACGCAGTAGGGACACAGGGGAGACGCGGGAAGACGCAGGGGAGACGCGGGGAGACGCGGGAAGACGAGGAGACGCGGGAGAGACGCATGGGAGAAAGCGGGGAGAGACGCATGGGAGAAGCGGGGGGAGAAGCGGGGGTAGACGCAGGGGATGGTCTTGAACACGTCTATGGTCCCGCGCTCAGATGTGCGTTCGCGGAGCAGTTGTCAACACAATACACCGCAGTTGTTCCCGGGGTTAGAACGACTGATGCCGTTCAAAACAGCGCACTATAGTCCGTCCCAAATCTTTAGTTGCTCTGGGCAAGCGGACAATGTTAATGTCATTTCGCCAACTGCATGTATTTTCGTTCGTTCATTCATTCATTCGTCCCGCGCCCGCCCTGCAATTGCTCTGCGCCCCATTCCCCACTTTGGGTAGCACTGAGTTAAGTAAAGCACGTACCATTCAATAACATAGCAACACTTACCGATGTCTCGTGGTAATGTCACCTATGGGTCGAGGGGCACAACATTCAGGAACCATCAATAAATAAGCATTTTAGATAATTAGAAAAGGGTTTTATCCACCAAACCTCGTTACATCCATGCATGTATTATACATATATATTTTCGATTAATAATACCTAGGTTTCTGACCTCCACAACCACAAACGCTATTTAGCTGACTTCCGTGTGCAAAGGCTTATGGGAAATTGAGTTTTTTGTGTAAAACCTTGGCGAATGATTAAGAACACAGAATTAATGTATGTAGCTCTGTTACACTAACCCCTCTCATGGATAGTAGACTTTACTAGAGATGGATTCATTTAGACTGATTATTGAAAGTCGCCCAAAAGGGAAGGGAGCGCCAGAAATGAAAAAATTCCCTTTCGCGCGGAAAGTACACGGTACTTCCCATCAATTAATAAACACTCTGTGTTTTCAAGGATAAGAAATCGGTCAATGCAATAGATGTAATGTCCCCCATCCATTTGATTGAAAACATCATGTCTCTGTTTTGATGCCATCAGATATTAAATTCTAAAATATAATGTTTTGATAAAATGTAATAAACAACTCACTTGTATACTCACTTGTACCATGTACTCTTAAGCTAGGAACATGGCAATAGCCTCACTATGTATTCATTATTTCATAGCACAGTACCGGTGCATTTTAATTGGTCGCTCTAAATACATAATAACATGACATTTCTTTCTAGAATAAAAGGAATAGTATTGCCAGCAAAGAGGAGAAAACGAATTAGTCCTCAACAGGAAGCAGTGGAATATGTCAAATTAAAAAGTGACAAGGCTGGACTGAAACAACAGTTTATTAATTCATACAAAGGTATACATACATTTATATTGTTTTTTTTTAAATTTGATATAGAGGCCTACACTTTTTATGCTGTTTTACAGGCCGGGGGGTGTTCGCTGTGGATGGATTTCAAAAAGGAGATTTTCTCCTTGAGTACTGTGGCTCTCTTGTCAGAAAAGATAAACCTCAATTCAAGAATTCAGAGGGAGTATTTCTGTTTGATTTTAAATGGAGAGATACTCTTTGGTGGTAAGATTATTAAAATTATTGGTTATTGAAATGTAGGATGGATCTTAGAATAGCGTGAAGAGCTCACTTATTTGCTGTTACTTCAGGAAGGGAAACATTAAAACTAGGGCTGTCAAACGATTTTTTTTTTTAGTTGCTTAATCGCATAGTAATGGTGAGTTAACTCAAGATTTATCGCATTTTACACATTCTATTTCAAATCCACTCCAATTGAAGTTAAACGAGATTATCAAATGTAATGACACATTGTTATTCATACCAAATGTACTTCAATCTGTTTGACTTGCTCACAACCTTCTTCTTTTGGGTACAACCAACAAGATCTGTTAATGAAAGGGAAAATGTAGGTATTATTGCCAGTTTCTGATGATTTTTACTGAATTTTCAAGACCCACAGAATATCGTGTACCATGACTATCTGAAATCCAAAACCAAAAGGCCATCGTTGCTTGCTGAAATAGCTATTCCATACCTGTTACTGTGGCTGATGAATACAAATCCTGTTTTTTACCATGTTTTAGATGCAACTCACAGATATGACTGGACACACAATGTGTGATCCTGACAACCTCAAACTTCAAGTAAGAGTCTCCTTTTACAATGATCACATGTTCCAAACGAGTTCATATCTTTAACAAGGCATTGCAATTCTCTTCTACAGATATCTACTGCCAGTAATAGTGAGTCCACTGGTTCCAGTGCTCAGAATGAGGTAAGATCTGAATTTATTGCATGAAGCCCTATAATGTTGGGTGTATTTGAATGCCCTCCTATCTGGTGTAGTGTTGTCACAATACTAAAAGTCAAACATTACTTTGACTAGTGTAGTTGCAAATGATAGTCCCCAATCAGACCACTTCAGAATGTGGGTGTGTACATGTCCCCAAAAGTTTTATCTCATATTGTCTATGTTAATAGTGTAATCTAGTGTAGTTGCAAATGATAGTCCCCAATCAGACCACATCAGAATGTGGGTGTGTACATGTCCCCAAAAGTTTTATCTCATATTGTCTATGTTAATAGTGTAATCTAGTGTAGTTGCAAATGATAGTCCCCAATCAGACCACATCAGAATGTGGGTGTGTACATGTCCCCAAAAGTTGTATCTCATATTGTCTATGTTAATAGTGTAATCTAGTGTAGTTGCAAATGATAGTCCCCAATCAGACCACTTCAGAATGTGGGTGTGTACATGTCCCCAAAAGTTTTATCGACAGCCTGTCTCACATTTGTAGGAACACTGTTCCATATTTTAGCTGCATACATCTGAAATACTGCCTCCCCATGTTTAGTTCTGACTCTGGGCATCAGCAAGAGGCCTGTCCCTGTGCTCCTCAGAGTCAGAGTTGGTTCATAATGCACTAAAAAAGAAAAAAAAATCATTATTTTGCCTGTGGTCAGTATCGAACCCGGTGTGCAAAATTGTAAGCACAATGTACAAACCACTAGGCCATCGTTGCTTGCTGAAGTAACCATTCCATACCTGTTACTGTGGCTGATGAATTCAAATCTTGTTTTTACCATGTTTTAGATGCAACTCACAGATATGACTGGACACACAATGTGTGATCCTGACAACCTCAAACTTCAAGTAAGAGTCTCCTTTTACAATGATCACATGTTCCAAACGAGTTCATATCTTTAACAAGGCATTGCAATTCTCTTCTACAGATATCTACTGCCAGTAATAGTAAGTCCACTGGTTCCAGTGCTCAGAATGAGGGGAGATCTGAATTTATTGCATGAAGCCCAATAATGTTGGGTGTATTTGAATGCCCTCCTATCTGATGTAGTGTTGTCACAATACTAAAAGTCAAACATTACTTTGACTAGTGTAGTTGCAAATGATAGTCCCCAATCAGACCACATCAGAATGTGGGTGTGTACATGTCCCCAAAAGTTTTATCTCATATTGTCTATGTTAATAGTGTAATCTAGTGTAGTTGCAAATGATAGTCCCCAATCAGACCACATCAGAATGTGGGTGTGTACATGTCCCCAAAGGTTTTATCGACAGCCTGTCTCACATTTGTAGGAACACTGTTCCATATTTTAGCTGCATATATCTGAAATACTGCCTCCCCATGTTTAGTTCTGACTCTGGGCATCAGCAAGAGGCCTGTCCCTGTGCTCCTCAGAGTCAGAGTTGGTTCATAATGCACTAAAAAGTCTCAGGTGTACTTTAGTGCGGGAGACTAAAAAAGAAAAAAAATATCATTTTATTGCCTGTGGTCGGTATCGAACCCGGTGCGCAAAATTGTTAACGTGATGTCCAAACCACTGGACCAGTGTCAATCATTGAAAGTAAGATTTCCAGACCGGCTAAGTTGCCTGATGAATACAAATCCTGTTTTTACCATGTTTTAGATGCAACTCACAGATCAGATATGACTGGACACACAATGTGTGATCCTGACAACCTCAAACTTCAAGTAAGAGTCTCCTTTTACAATGATCACATGTTCCAAACGAGTTCATATCTTTAACAAGGCATTGCAATTCTCTTCTACAGATATCTACTGCCAGTAATAGTGAGTCCACTGGTTCCAGTGCTCAGAATGAGGTAAGATCTGAATTTATTGCATGAAGCCCTATAATGTTGGGTGTATTTGAATGCCCTCCTATCTGGTGTAGTGTTGTCACAATACTAAATCAAACATTACTTTGACTAGTGTAGTTGCAAATGATAGTCCCCAATCAGACCACATCAGAATGTGGGTGTGTACATGTGCCCAAAAGTTGTATCTCATATTGTCTATGTTAATAGTGTAATCTAGTGTAGTTGCAAATGATAGTCCCCAATCAGACCACATCAGAATGTGGGTGTGTACATGTCCCCAAAAGTTTTATCGACAGCCTGTCTCACATTTGTAGGAACACTGTTCCATATTTTAGCTGCATACATCTGAAATACTGCCTCCCCATGTTTAGTTCTGACTCTGGGCATCAGCAAGAGGCCTGTCCCTGTGCTCCTCAGAGTCAGAGTTGGTTCATAATGCACTAAAAAAGAAAAAAAAAACATTATATTGCCTGTGGTCGGTATCGAACCCGGTGTGCAAAATTGTAAGCACAATGTACAAACCACTAGGCCATCGTTGCTTGCTGAAGTAACCATTCCATACCTGTTACTGTGGCTGATGAATTCAAATCCTGTTTTTACCATGTTTTAGATGCAACTCACAGATATGACTGGACACACAATGTGTGATCCTGACAACCTCAAACTTCAAGTAAGAGTCTCCTTTTACAATGATCACATGTTCCAAACGAGTTCATATCTTTAACAAGGCATTGCAATTCTCTTCTACAGATATCTACTGCCAGTAATAGTGAGTCCACTGGTTCCAGTGCTCAGAATGAGGTAAGATCTGAATTTATTGCATGAAGCCCTATAATGTTGGGTGTATTTGAATGCCCTCCTATCTGGTGTAGTGTTGTCACAATACTAAAAGTCAAACATTACTTTGACTAGTGTAGTTGCAAATGATAGTCCCCAATCAGACCACATCAGAATGTGGGTGTGTACATGTCCCCAAAAGTTTTATCTCATATTGTCTATGTTAATAGTGTAATCTAGTGTAGTTGCAAATGATAGTCCCCAATCAGACCACATCAGAATGTGGGTGTGTACATGTCCCCAAAAGTTTTATCTCATATTGTCTATGTTAATAGTGTAATCTAGTGTAGTTGCAAATGATAGTCCCCAATCAGACCACATCAGAATGTGGGTGTGTACATGTCCCCAAAAGTTGTATCTCATATTGTCTATGTTAATAGTGTAATCTAGTGTAGTTGCAAATGATGGTCCCCAATCAGACCACATCAGAATGTGGGTGTGTACATGTCCCCAAAAGTTTTATCGACAGTCTGTCTCACATTTGTAGGAACACTGTTCCATATTTTAGCTGCATACATCTGAAATACTGCCTCCCCATGTTTAGTTCTGACTCTGGGCATCAGCAAGAGGCCTGTCCCTGTGCTCCTCAGAGTCAGAGTTGGTTCATAATGCACTAAAAAGTCTCAGGTGTACTTTAGTGCGGGAGACTAAAAAAGAAAAAAAATATCATTTTATTGCCTGTGGTCGGTATCGAACCCGGTGCGCAAAATTGTTAACGTGATGTCCAAACCACTGGACCAGTGTCAATCATTGAAAGTAATCTTTCTTTTGCTTATTCCATTGTCAGTTAATGGGGGCAGCAGTCTAAGCAGAGATTCCCTGACATCCCTCTCCACAAAGAATCTGAGGGAATCCGGGGGTGGTCCCAGGCCAGCTGAGACACATAGTCCCACTGTGTCCTGGGTCTTCTGCGCTCCTGCTCAGATTGGATTTAAAATCTGCAGCCACACCTGCAGATCCTGAGGATCTTATTTTTTGACTGCTTGTATCCATGTTGTTCTTTCGGTCATTATTTGATTTAGGAATGTTTTCTCTTAAGCTAGATAATATTTGTTGATGATTTATTTGTTATTTTTTCACAGTACCAGTTGACCAGTGCCAAAATTTATACTGCACTAACCACTGTTTATGTTTGACCCTTTATTGAATTGTTTACAATTTTCCTTGTCAGTATTTCTTCAAAGCCTTGAGGTATGCATGGAACCATTTTACCCTACTTTGAGCTTTTGTTTTGTGACATATTAAAGTTGACAAAAGTGAAATCTGCATTTATGTCCTAATTGAATCTGTTACATGATCACTGTTAACCTTTATTTAATGAGGAAGTCACTTGAGATCCAAAAGAATCCTTTTCGAGGGAGACCACTTTGGTATATGTAAGACAATTGTTGTATGTATTGATGACCCCAAATATGACATTTATGGGTTTGTGTATAATTTAGACCCCAAATATGACATTTATGGGTTTGTGTATAATTACGACCCCAAATATGATATTTATGGGTTTGTGTATAATTTAGACCCCAAATATGACATTTATGGGTTTGTGTATAATAACGACCCCAAATATGACATTTATGGGTTCGTGTATAATTTAGACCCCAAATATGACATTTATGGGTTTATGTATAATTACGACCCCAAATATGACATTTATGGGTGTGTGTATAGTAGCTGTCCTCAAAAGTGACTTTAAAATTCATTGTCCCCATTGTGAGGGTTCTGTACTCAGGGGACAAAAGTTGTGAAAAAGGAAAATCTGAGTTGATTTTGTGTATATGAGCAGTCACATTGACAAAATGGCCCTGCCAGAATCTCTCTATGTGTTTCAGAAAGGGTGGTCCCCTAAGTAGGGGTTGCAGGTTTGCGACCCCCAAAGTGACTTAAGCGAGTATGTGTGTGTGTGTGTGTGTGTGTGTGTGTGTGTGTGTGTGTGTGTGTGTGTGTGTGTGTGTGTGTGTGAGTGTTTTATCTCCTGGTTTGCTTCGCTGATCAACAGTTTTGTTAATTCCTCCAAGATAACTGCTATTGTGATTTAGAGCTATGCAAATATAAATTTAATTGAGTTACTAAAATGTGAGCTGATTATCCACACTGCAAAAAATTTAAAATATGCAGTAATAATTGCTTAAATCGAGTGGTTTTGATCATAATCTGAGGACATTCTGAACGTGTTAAAACAAGATTTGCCTATGAGACAAAGCCATATGGTCTTATTTAAAGAACTATTGCTTTATTTTCTCATTCCATGGAAGACATTTCTTGAATATTTTTTAAATCTTATTTCAAGGCAGTCTAAAATGTGCTCCAATTAAAATACATTTTGCCAAATTTGACCCTAACCCTAACCCAACATTTTATCTTTTTTGCGCAGACACAGTAAACCTATTTCTCTTGACTTGTTTTGCCGAATTGACATTTGTGACTGACTGCGTTTTTACTGGAGCTCCTTAGAACTTGTTGCTGGTAAAACACTATGTATGTGGTACAAAAATCCATAATTGATTTTGTGTGTTGTTTCAGGGCTCTGTCAACTTTAAATTTGGCGTCCTGTTTGCCAAAGACGGACAGCTCACAGACGATGAGATGTTTAGCAATGGTGAGTCACTTTTGGTCCCTTGTGCAAAAGTGCTGTTTCGTTCTTACTTTGAATCCCTCATTTAGAAAAAGGGTTTTGGGGAGAAAATCTGTGTGCGAACGGCAAAGCAAAAGTGTAAATCTTCCTGATATGAATGGCTCCCCACAGCTCACCACGCTCCCAGGTCTGCTCCACAACTCTTCTTTATCTCTCTCTGGTATGAATCTATCAATCGCTGAAACAACATGAGATACAGTCTTAACAGCTGCTAAAGTCAGCACTAAGTCAATATGTTGGTGTTTACCTTAACTGGTGCATGCTTGTGACGCTTTTCACATTTTCCACAGTTTACAGTTTTTCTCAGTCTCTTTGGTGCATTTTTCACATCAGACCTAAACTTCTCTTAACTATTAGTTCAACATTGAGTCATTGGTGCTCATCATGATGGCAGTTTCTCATTCCTCTGAACACATTACAAAGGCTTTTGAACATGTATCAGTTACTTTCATATAATTCTCTGCTGTTTTTTAACATAATCATTTGCTTCTGTCCTGTCAGTCAAAATTAAACACACTTATCACTTCTGAATAGTCATTCCTTATAAAACTAATAGTCCTCATTTCATCGCTTTGTTCATCACATACAAAATTGTTAAACTAGTTCTCAAAATCAAATACATACATACATAAATACAGTATGTGTCTTGTACTCAGTTACGTCTCTAAATACAGTCATTTGTAACTGTAGTTTTCGGCTGTGCAGTGTTTAGTGCTCAACAAGTGTCACCAACATCTGACTTTCTTGCACTGAAAACAGAGAGAGTAAACTTTCACAGTGAAAACGTGAATAAGTCATTTAACTGTTGTTCATAAACACTGGTGTCAGGACTTATTGTTCTGAGACACAGACAGTTTCATCGACATGAAGACTTGCTTTTGAGGAATTAACTTTTCATTTTGAAAAAGTGATGCACCACGAGGTTTTGCAGTTTGCACTAATTGTTCTGAGAAATGCACTAACTGTTGTGCAAATGTGAAGAATGATGTGAAAAATGCACCAAAGCCACTGAGAAGAAATGTAACCTGGAAGAAAAACTGTAAGCTGGGACGAGAGAACAGATAGAGAGATAGATAGACTGTAGACCACATGTGTCAATGAATTATCTATGGCCCCCGGGACATTGCCTCCCATTGAGGCAATGTATTGACCCCTTAAGCTCGCTAGCCCCCGCCGGCGGGAGCAAACGAGGAAAAAAATACATCTGCTGGCAATAGCAGATGTATTTTGAACTTCATAAGCCACAAGCTATATCATTTTAAAGCTTATTTTCTCAGCTATATTTATATGTAAGTGTAAACGATATCAGACTTTGCATTAAAAAGATATAACGCATAATATGGGCACAAAATAAATCACGTCTGTATTTGTTTTTTACCTTTCGTCTTCTGCTGCTCCAACAAATTAGACTTTCCCCATCCTTGCTTAGTCGCTTTCTCTCCGTAACTGTTCATTGAAGAAGAATATCCACTTGTATTTCCCAAAGTATAATCCATTCTGCAGATTTAATCTAAAAACGCCCCGAAAAGAGGTCCAGACTGCTCTTTTACATTTGACCAAGTTTGAGCTTTTTTTTTTTTTTTTTACTATTTTCATGTTTTCAGATGTCTATTACATCTAATATGTACAGTATGAGGATTGGCTTTAGAGCATATTTTATCGAGCCAACAGGTGTCACCGGCACTGCCTCTGGATGTTGAGAAACATTGAACCAGTCCGGCCCTCGGCGCGTAGCAAACATTTTTTTTTGGCCCTCTGATGTATTTGACTTTGACATGCCTGCTGTAGACCGACAGACAGAGAGAGAGACAGGTATGTTCATAGATAGATCCGTGTATACAAACATCATTAAATACATAGTTTAAGGTGGTAGTTTGCATGTTTTTGTCATGTTTACAACCTAAAACATGAAGATTTTCAGGTGAAGACCACAGCGAAGTAACAGAACATGAAGTGACAGCAAATTGATTATTTTTGTATTATTTTAAGTTACTGTAAACAACTGAAAGTATTCACACAGCATTTATCAGTCTATTCTGAACGCTCACTTCTTTCCCCCCCCGTGTGTAATCCATATATAGAGTTTACTGGTCACTAATGGTCACTAAACAGCATCATGAAGTCTAAGGAGTACACCAGAGAGGTCAGAAGACGTTTAACTTAACGTACTCACAGATGTTACGCTTTGAACGTCTCACAGAGCACCGTTCAGTCCATTATTCTTCTGCAGCTGAGTCGGGAGAATGTGGGTCAACTGTTAGACGTACGCTACACAGATCTAGTGGCAAGAAGAAAAACCATTGTCAAAAGAAAGTCATAAGAAATTCTGTTTGCAGCTTGATAGAAGTCATACACGGCTTAGAAGGTGCTTTGTTGAGATGACACCAACATTTTGGCCCAATTTTGGCTTTTTGTTTTCAATTGGTACTGGAAACGCAATCAAATTGGACATTTAAGGACATTTGTTGACGTTTATGGACATTGGTTCCTGTCCCCTATGGATCAATAACTCCTATATGTTTGTTTTTGTTGCATTGCCTGTGTTCAAACTTTTGATTAAGATAATATAAGATAAGAAAACTCGTCCCACAGTGGGAAAATTTTGATATTTGTAGATAGATAGATAGATGTAGATAGATACATACAGTAGATAGATACTTACATAGATAGATTTATCGTTTGATAGATGTCTATGGACATTAATATCAGATAGACGAATAGATATAGAGAGATAGATAGAGATAGATACATAGATATACAGACAGACAGATAGACAGACAGACAGATATATAGAGATATATAGAGATGTGCGCTACAACATCAAAATTTCCCCACTGTGGGACGAATAAAGGAATTCTTATCTTATCTTTTCTTATCTTATAGACAGATATATAGATAGATAGACAGATAGATACAGTAGATCAACAGTAAGACAGACAGATGAATTGAATTGAATTGATGGATGGAATTAACACATGTTTGTTTTGTTTTTTTGCTGATAGAAAGGGGAAGCGAGGCGTTTGACAAGTTCCTGACCTTGCTGGGAGACTCCGTCACGCTGCAGGGGTGGGCAGGGTACCGCGGGGGGCTGGACACAAAGAGTAAGTGACACACACAGCGTCCAAAGTCTCATCATAGAAGTAACTGGATACTGCATTGTGTGTTTAATGCAGACGACACTACAGGGATTAAGTCCATCTACACAGTGTATCAGGGCCACGAGCTCATGTTCCATGTGTCCACCATGTTGCCCTACTCCAAAGAGAACAAACAGCAGGTATGTCTTTATGAACCCACAAAGCAGAGCCGTAAGTGTACAGTATATACAGTATATTCAACTCAACAGACTCTAGGTCCAATTGAAAACATACAGACAGAAAAGACAAAAAATATTTTAAAAAAACAGCTATGACTTAAAAAAAACAGCCATACCAGTGATTTACTGTATGCTTTTTTTTTGTTTTTTGATACAAACGCCAAATTGAGATTAAGAGATCCTTCATTCATTCCACATTGGGTACATGTCCCATTGGAAAATGTTGTTTTAAGTCAGAATGAACCAAAATATCTATCTTCTTTGCCTCTAACGGAGCCCATGGGGAGTAGAGTCACAACATTTTTGCCAGCAATGAAATTAAACATTCCTCTTGCTCCGGCTTCAATTTCTGGATATTTGAAGCCTGAACCAGAACGGATTGAGGAGCTTCCTTTACTATCGCAATCGCCACCATTGCCAAACTACAACCAGCTAATTCGGCACGAACTCTTGACGTCAGCGACACCTACAGGGACACCCGTATTCAACAAATGTAAATGCAGACATTAGAACCAGACCCAGACGTATATGTTGGGAAATATTAATTGACCAGAGTTTACAAATGGTTAAGGCCAGGCTAGAATTAACGTAAATTAAGATAAAAACAAAAAACTCTCATTTCAAGCACTTATTACCTCATATATTATCATTTTTCTGTGTACTTAGATCTCAGTACAAGCTATTCTTGTTTTTACAAAGCAGTTTTGACGTTGCTGAAAATTGGTGCGTAAGAAAATAATATGTTTCTTGATGTCGGCTTCAGCACAAATCATCTCAGTCTCTTCAACATAAATTGGATCCAAATCTTGTCAGGAGTCGCTAAAGCACAATCGCACATTTGTCAACGCTGAGTCTCGCTCTCTCTGTTCACATTGAAAAGATTCACCCAGTTAAATAGAAGCGTTTAGTGACATCCAGCAGCTTGTCGAGGTCCACTCCGTAATAACAGTATATTGCACTGGTTCTTTGCACGTCTGACACATAATTGGATTTCTTCTTGGGATTCCTATTATAAGGAACGCCATGTGCTTTTGAAAGAGGCTGGTGGCCTGTTGTGTGTCACCAGGCGAGCACTTCAGTCACAAAGAGAATGCATTATGATCTCTCTTTGTACGAGATTAAAAGAAGCGGGTTTGACATAGAAACATGAGCGTTGCATTGATTTGCATACGGTTTATCTCATCAAGAATAGTCCAGAGAATAGGAGAAGATGTTAGAGAGTAGACTATTGATATAACTATCAGTGAGGGTTTGTTTTTATTTAGATCCCCATTTGCTACTGAAATATACAGTAGCTATTCTTCCTGGGGTCTATATACCCATCGATGTCACATAAATGAATGTACAAACAACAACAAAATATATGTAAGATTTTCACATCAAGTGAACTCTCTACTAAATAAAATAAAGTCACTAGCTTTGGCATAATAAGGGTTCAGTCTATAATCTATAAGAAGCAAGAATTAAATACAAAATCTCTGACTTTAGCAGAATAAAGAAGCAAGTGTAAAGTATTATAAATACAGGCCTAAAATATGTACTGAATAAGCCGCTAATACTTAAAATTATCTACTCAGTTTCAGTCCCATTGACGTCATACCCGTTGACATATTGTATATACTTTAGCACTAAATACTTACAGGGAGAATGTGACTTCCCGCATTATCTTCATCTCGGCCTGTCGCTCTCATCTTTCAGGTGGAGAGGAAGCGACACATTGGAAATGACATCGTGACGATAGTTTTCCAAGAAGGGGATGATGCGTCGTCGTCCTTCAAGCCTTCGATGATCCGCTCGCACTTCACCCGTATCCTCCTCAAGGCCCAAACACTGCTTCCCAAAGTGGGGGGTCTCTGCGCCACAAAGGGGCCTCCAGCGGCACTAGCAATTGAAATGATAACAGTGATCGTAATACAACGTACTTATATAGCGCTTTTTGGACACTCAAAGACAAATAGGTTAAAAATCAAATTAAAATAAAGAGTTATGTGTATGGTGGGTGTGAACTGGTGGGTTTTTAGAGAGTTGAAGTTCTGAAGTGAGTCTGAGCCTGATGTGTTGTGGGAGAGAGTTCCAGAGCGAGGAGGAAGCTGCAGCGAAGGGCTCCAGGGTTCAGAAGGCGCGGTCATCTAGGGTTCAGAAGGCTCGGTCTTCCAGGGTTCAGAAGGCTTGGTCTTCTAGGGTTCAGAAGGCGCGGTCTTCTAGGGTTCAGAAGGCTCGGTCTTCTAGGGTTCACAAGGCGCGGTCTTCTAGGGTTCACAAGGCGCGGTCTTCTAGGGTTCAGAAGGCTCGGGCTTCCAGGGTTCAGAAGGCTTGGTCTTCTAGGGTTCAGAAGGCTTGGTCTTCTAGGGTTCACAAGGCGCGGTCTTCTAGGGTTCACAAGGCGTGGTCTTCTAGGGTTCAGAAGGCTCGGGCTTCCAGGGTTCATAAGGCTTGGTCCTCAAGGTTCAGAAGGCACAGTCTTCAAGGGTTCAAAAGGCTCCGTCCTCAGAGTTCATAAGGCTTGGTCCTCAAGGTTCATAAGGTTCGGTCTTCAAGGGTTCAGAAGGCTCGGTCCTCAGGGTTCAGAAGGCTCGGTCTTCCAGGGTTCAGATGGCTCTGCCCCCCAGGGTTCAGAAGGCTCGGGTCTGGCACTTTTTTCTGACGGGGGTGAGTAGGTTGGAGTCTGTGGATCTGAGGCGGAGGGAGGGACAGTGATGATGGAGGAATAGGTGAGATTTGAGGACACCAGGTAATAAAATAACTTTTAGCCAATGAGAAAAAAATTCATATCAAATGTACAAATCTTTGGAGGATGTTTAGACTCTTTGTTGTTTGAGGAGGAACGTTCAGATATTCTCCATAATTTTTTTTTTATTATTTGTGAAACGCGCGGCCCTCCAGAGATTTGGAATAATTGATCTAAATGATAAACATATGTTGTATTTCCACTGTCCAGTCGACGTCGATGCATGTGCTTCCTATAACCTCCTTCCAGATATTTTTGCATTAGTTAGGTATAATAGCCAGAATGACAGTTACAGGTGAGTCTGCTTTTTTACCTCTATAAACAACACAATTTCCCTCTACATCTCTTACGTATTTAGGTTCTCCTGTATTCATTATGGACCCCTGATTAGAATAGTTTGAGCACCACTTGTGTGTTTCCAAGATGTCTGCCCATTCAAATCAATGGTCTGTGCTCACGGACGTCCCAGAGAATTAGCGGAAGTGACGAGAAACATTGATCTTTGTCAATCAATCAATCAATCAACTTTCTTTATTCAGCACAGTTCATACAGAATGCAACCCAAAGTGCTTCACATTGGCAACATCCATCCATCCCCTTATTCCATTTCAGGGTCGGGGGGTGGCAGTCAGAGCTGCAGAGCATTGGCAACATTTAAAACCAATTTAAAACACATACAAATAACAATTTAAAAATATAAAAAAATATATATATATATATACAGTATATATATCAATAATAAAATGATTATCCGCTGCTGATGATGATCAGTCGTAGGCACGGCTAAAAATAACTGTTTTCCGACTGGACTTGAATAAAGCTAGGGTAGCAGCCTGTCTCACACCTTCGGGAAGACTTTTCCATATTCTATTGGTCACAATGTTTTTTTAATAATACTAATGCATTGGTTTTATATAGCGTTTTATATAGTGCTTTTCAGTACCCTTAAAGACGACACGCAAAGACGCTTTTTTGCAGTATTATATTTTTTGGGTTTTTACTTGTCTGTACAGCACTTTTGTAAGCCTAGGCTGTTTTAAATATGCTTCATACATGAAGATTGATTGATTGATTCATACTGATACAACACTGAGTTATTGCAAAGTTTATAATGGGTATCCAGTAACCAGGAAGTATTTTCTTTAGCAAAAATAGAATAATATTTGTCAGTGTTGTCATTAAATCTGAGATGTAATTTTAGTAAATGCCGTTTTAAAGGCATCGTAAGCACTTGCCTCCAGATCAGTCACGCTGTTTATTTCTCTGTGACAGGTTGAAGATATTCTCAGAAGAGAGCGTCCCGCTGTTCGGACCTCCTCTCCCGCCTCCGCCTGTGTTTACTGATCACCACGAATTCAGGGACTTTTTACTCGTCAAATGTAAGATCTGCAGCAAATAAAGCACAATACGAGTTCATAAGTTTGATATGTCACTTAAAGAAGCTACACCTGATTTTTTTCTGAATGAGTTCATAAAAATGCTTATTACTACATACAAGTTGTATTATAATCCATTATTTAATTGAAAACTTGAGCTCATTGATTCAGCTTGTGTATGAAATCAGCTTGTGAATGATATTTTGTTAGCGGGGCGTTGCTTTTGTACCATTTCATCAGTGATTGTTGTACAGCTTACAAGAAGTTGCGCTCATGCTAATGTTAGCATATGTATCAGATCGCAAATAAAACTAGATGGCTCCGTGGGATGAGAGCGTAGGGGAAATGAGAAGCCTGTGAGCGAGTTTGGTGCAGTGCTAAACATTCAAACCTTACAGAAACAGGTATAGCTCCTTTACGATAGTTTAGTTACGTCCAGGATTTTTATACTTCCTGGTTTTATGGATTTTGTAGCGCTCAAATATTATAAGATCACTTTTATTCGTCCCACAGTGGGGAAATGTCTGTTGCAACGCACAAACAGGACAATAGTAAGAGGAGCACACAAAATATACATTGATAACTAGCTGTAAATGCTTCATAAATAGAGCAATAACTATAATTGTATGTTATGTAAATTAGAGGAATATGGGTAGAATAAATAGATAGTTTTGGAGTATTGCACGTGATTGCGGTACTATTACTATTACTATTAATAGATGAGATGACATGTACAGACTCTGCAGTTCTCAGTGTACAGTCTGACAGCAGGAAGAAGGAAAGACCTGCGAAACCTCTCCTTCACACAGCAAGGGTGGAGCAGTCTGTCACTGAAGCTGCTCTCCAAAGCAAACAGTGTCCTGCAGATTATTACACAAATATGAACTTAGGCTTTCACTTCTTGTTACATCCTGGTCTAGGTTTGATTTGCGTCTTTTCAAGTTCTGACCTCATGTACTCCCCGTTCACTACCAAACAAATCGCCGCTAAAACACATTTGAGATATACTGTAGGTCTATCCTGAACTTGTACATATTTTTCCAATTAGCTATTTATCTCGCTACTTTTTTTTCTTTTTTACAGTAATCAATGGAGAGAAAGCCACATTGGAGACGCCGACGTTTGCCCAAAAGCGCCAGCGGACTCTGGACATGTTGATCCGCTCGCTTTATCAAGACCTCATGCCAGACTTGCACAAAGTATGTCCACTGTAAACCACCTCCTCTGTGTTTGTGCGTGAGTCTGTGAATGTATTGTGCTCTATTAACTAACTATTTTCATCTGGCTTTGGCACCGACTCTGACTCTCAAACACTGCTGAAAGGCTTACTATGCACGATGTGTGGTAGATCTAGTTACATTCTAGTTACATTCATATTTGTATAAAAGAATGAGTACAAATCTTGGGATGAAATAATTTTATTGTGAAAAAAGTGCATAATTACAGCCTCATGTTGTCACCTTTTGATCTTTTCTCTGCTGCACAAACTCCTCCACTGCTTCTAACACAGACCTCTGCACTTTCCCCCTGCGTGTGTGTGTGTGTGTGTGTCTATGTGTGTTTGTGTTCTTGTGCGTCCGTGTGTGTGTGTGTGCTTGCATGTGCGCCTGCGTGTGTGGGCCTGCTTGTACGTGCATTGTGCTTATGGGTTGTGTGTTTGGGGCTATGTACATGTGTGTATGCGTTCATGTGTGTATGTGTGTGGATGTATGTGTATATGTGTCTGTATGCATGTTTGTATGTCTGTGTGTGTACCTGTATGCATGTGTGTGTATGCGTGTATGTGTGCATGTGTACCTCTATGTCTGTATGTGTCTGTATGCATGTGTGTATGTGTTTGTATAAATGTGTGTATGTCTGTGTGTGTACCTCTCTGCATGTGTGTGTGTGTGTATGTCGGTGTGTGTGTGTGTGTGTGTGTGTACGTGTGTCTGTATGCATGCGTGTGTGTGTGTGTACGTGTGTCTGTATGCATGCGTGTGTGGGTCTGTATGTGTGTATATGTATATCCGTGTGTGTGTGTATGTATGTGTGTATGCATCTGTATGTGTATATGCATGTGCGTGTGTGTGTGTGTGTGTGTGTGTGTGTGTGTGTGTGCGTGTGTGTGTATGTGTGTATGCGGATACACAGGTTCCCTTCTCTCCTCAGAACATGTTGAACCGTCGATCCTTCAGTGACGTCCTTCCAGAGTCTCCGAAGTCGGCGCGCAAGAAAGAAGAGGCGCGACAAGCCGAGTTTGTCCGCATCGGCCAGGTACCATCAACACACCATGAACACACCATAAATACACCATGAGGCTAATGGACCGGGGACTACTTCTACAAAAAGACTCACATTAATAAATAAAAAGTTACAGTGGACAGTTTGGGTCAAGAACCCCTGAGCAGAAAGGACTGTTTTGTGTAAAGGTGCGCAATCTGTTCGAATTAAACGTTAAAGACATTCATTCATTTTAAGTTTAGTATCAGTGACTTTTGCTACAATTAGTTTGTGTCTTGTCCTAGAATTATGAAACAGATCGGACTCCCAGAGCAGTCATTTTGACGGCTCAACAATTGTAAAGCGCTTTGTACTTACTCCCATTCAAATCGATGGCATTCTGAAAAGAAATAGTAAACAAAATAGTCAGTCAGGGACCAATCAGGGACCAGTCTAGGACCTGCCTGGGACCAGTCAAGGACCATTCCAGGACCAGTCAGGGTCTAATCAGGGACCAGTCTAGGACCAATCTAGAACCAATCAAGTACTAGTCTAGGACCAGTCTAGGAACAGTCTTGGACCAGTCAAGAACCTGTCTAGGACCAGCCAGGGAACAGTCTAGAACCAGTAGAAACAGAAAAAACTATTAAATGAAAAGCCGCCAAATTGAGTGTGTTTTCTCACACACACGATTTATTTAACTTGAACAGAGCCAGATCAAACCATCTTCACAAACATTTTCTCCAAACACATTTCTGTTGCACTTTGTCCACAAACAACAGTAGGTGTCGTCAGTGACTGCCCAGAAAACATGTCTTTGTCTCAATCCCACTTCTGCAAAACATAATATTGGATCAAACCTGAACAAATCACTGCAAGACAAAGAAAGTTCCTTGGTCATTTGAGTTGTTACAATGTTTGATGACGGCTAAACGATGTGAGAGAAAGATGGACGCTAAATGTGCTTTATCTCTGTGCTCTTTAGGCTTTGAAACTCAAGACCATTGTAAGAGGAGACGCTCCCACCAGTCTAGTAACGACAGGAATCTGCAGAAAAGAGGTACAAGCCATTTTCCTTTTCAATCTCAGCAGTAGTTATCTCAAAGGACTTTACAAAACTGTTGAATTTGCCAACACAGATCAGAGAATCAAACCGTTCACAAGAAATGCAATGATAGAAAACACATTTGTATTGGTCCATAGGGGGAAGATGTCAAATGTGTTACTCACAAATATTAAAATCCAGCTGTGCAAAAAATGATAAAAAATAAGTCCGAAATTGCTCAAATTTGACAAAATGTATCTTGTAATCTTAATTTTAACTGCCTTAAAACAAGATTTGCTAATGGGACAAAGCAAAGTGATCTGGTTTTAAAGAGATACAAGAAATAGTGAAATAGTTTTGTCATGATGTACTTATCTTAAGAAAAGAAACAATGAATTACAGCAACATTTTCCTCATATTTTACCATTTCCATAAGGGGCAGTGACATTTTGACGTTTTATTTCTCATGAAACTGCTTGATTCTCTGATCTGTGATGGCAAATTCAACGGTTTTGTGATTTAGGGATTACAAGAATACATTGAATTTAATTGTTCAAGCCAGGTTAAAACAGTTTGTTCTAGCTGTGCTTACAACTGAAGTATTTTATCTTCACTCATTTTAATGTACTGTGATTATTCATAATATTAATGGCTTGTACAACTTATTTTCTTGTTTTATGAAGCACTTTGAGTTGTCTTGTGTATGAACTGTAACCATACAGATAAACTTGCCTCGCCTTATGCACACTTACATACTTTAGCATCATCTTCTGTCTAATTGTGCTGTGTATAGGGGTTAGAATCTGATCATAAATGTCCGTAAAAATCACAATAAATGCTTTTGCACTCGGTTCCCTGTCGGTGACTCTGACCTGTCTTTTGGGATGCAGCCGTGGGAATCTCAACCATTCTGCAGCACGTTCCCGTACGAGAGCGTGTGTGCGGACTCCTGGGGCCAGTCTCTGCTCGCTGCCACAGACACAGCTGGTGTTCTGCTCTTGGATGGTGAGGTCAAGTGAATCTATATATCGCCCTAAATTGCCTCCCCCCCTCCCTACCCTACCCTGCCCTCTCCCCTGATCGTAACTATCCACTAAATACGGGCGCATCCAAATACCAAGGTCAACGCTAATAATGCTAATGATGTTGTCTGTGTGTTGCAGGCGCTGACCCCGCTCTGTCCAGTGCGGGTGAGTTTTAGTCGGTTGTCCTCGGGACCACTGCAAAAAGTGATGAAAAATAAGTCAAAATGTATCTTAATTTGAGCACATTTTGACTGCCTTAAAGCTGCACTAACTGACTTTATTTTTGTATTCATTACGAAAATGCTATCCATGTCCATGTAGTGCATTGGGATATACGTCCTTTTGAAGAAAAAGTAGCGCAGGTTTGTGCTGGCGTGACATTATATTTTAGATCGAGTTTTGATGAAACAAGGAAGAGAATGTGTTTCGGGTCGCAGATTGTGACCAATCACAGCGGACCACTGGCCCCCACTTTCGTGAGAAATCTACAGGTCCGTTAGCACAGACAGCTGAGTTAGCACAACAAGATGAGGAGCTAACCTGAAGCTTCCTCGTCTTCGTCACCGGTTACTGCTTACACAGCGAAACAGCCATCCAAAAGAAAGTCCCGTTCCTCCGCGCTTCCCGGTTCTATCGTTCTATGGTCACGCCATCCACGTGCAAATCCATATCCATGTATTATCCATATTGAGAGACACTAGCTCCGTCCCAACAGTGGGTGTGTGTGGGGGGCGATAGCTTCGTGGGTGCGGGGAGGGGAGCAGAAAGAGAGAGGCCAGCGAGTCTGCTGCTTCAAAATCCCAAAGTCAGTTAGTGCAGATTTAACACTACACTGCAAAAAATATAAATTATGAGGTAATAAATGCTTGTATTGAGTGGTTTTTGTGTTAATTTGAGAACTTTCAAGTGGGACAAAGCCATTCAGTATTAATTCAAGAATTTTTTGGGAGATATTTCTTGTGTTTTTTCAAAACAAGATCATTTTGCTTGTTTTAAGGCAGTCAAAATGTCCTCATATTAAGACACATTTTGCCAAATTTAGCAATTTTCGATTTATTTTCGATCACTTTTTGCAGTGTTGAACTCCCAGAGCTTATACAAGTGTAATGACGTATGTGCATGTTTGGGCTTCATAATCATGTGACTTTTTCAGTTTCTCTATGTCGTTTATTTCTACGCCATTACTTTTATTTTTGAAACGTGAGCCGCTAGCTACAATAGTTACCATAGCAACACACTGTTTACTTTCCAGCAGTTTTACTGTATTTCAAGTCATATACATCAGTCTTAGCTCTTATAAATGAGCTAATTTAAAAAAACAAGTGGGAAATTTTACCTTTTGGGGGGAATTTCTCTGAATTCCATTGGTCACTTTGGGGGTTGTAGTAGATTAATAATTCTGGGAGTCCTGGTATTAAAACAAGATTTGGGACAAGAAAAATTACCAAAGACAAAGACAAAATGGCTTTGTCCCATCCGTAAATCTTGTTTTAAGACAGTCTCAGTCCAAATGTTCTCAAATGAATAAAAAAAACACTTGATTCAAGCAATTATTAATATAAATATTTTGGCTTTTCCTCTTCAGATACAGCAGCTGCTCCACCCGTTCAAGTGTTCGACAAAACTATGGTGGTGAAACAAATGCACGTTCTGGAGCCTCAGGACCTGCTCATCATGAGGGCAGACAAAGGTAAACACATGGATGTTAATATTGTATGAGTCTATGCCATTGTTTGGATGTAAAACAGTTTAATAATGCAGAACAGGTTGGAGGGAAGGTCATGTCTCCTGTGGAGGGATGTAAAAAACCCGGGTTCACAGTGAGGGAAGGATCGGTGCAGCACAGGGGCGGCAAACTCACTTTGATCCGGGGCCAGAGAAAATAATAATAGAAGTGATTTTTTTTTCTTCTTATTGTTTTTTAGATTATGAAGGTATTGTGAAAATTTACTGTCAATAAGATTTAACCAAAACTGGAGTAAAATATAAAGTTAAACACGTTTTATAATTAGATATTTATCTGATAATAATGTGTTGGGTTAAACAAGTTTTTTTGTGAAAAAATAAATTATGTAAAACGTGTCTTGGTAAACCGTAACCATCAATCCTGCAAGTTATTAATAATTAAAGGGGGACACTAAAATTTGTCTTGCGGGCCGGATTTGGCCCATCAGACTGTTGTGGGGAAGAGGGAGCAGCGTCTGCTGTCAGAGCTGTATCAGACTGTTGTGGGGAAGAGGGAGCAGCGTCTGCAGTCAGAGCTGTATCAGACTGTTGTGGTTAAGAGGGAACAGCGTCTGCAGTCAGACGTGTAATAATTCTTTTTTATTTTATCAATTTATTTACTTGGATCCCCATTAGCTTCTACAGTGGTCGGTGGTCTTCCTGGTGTCCACAAAGGATCAATTCACAATAAAGCATTCAGTATGAAAAGCATTTACAAAACAAAATAACACAAAACTGAACAAACACAGAAGAAAATGGAATGAATGGATGAAAAATATTAAGTGACTATTTACAATAAGACATCGGATACTGGCAAAAAAACAGTTTAGAATGATCAAGTTCCTCAATTAGCCTGTTCTTGATCTGTGTCAAATTTGTCAATTCAGTAATGACCAAAAAATAATCACTCAACAAATCCAAGAAATTTAGCTCAGAAATAGTTGTTTATTTGGATAATAAAGTACGGCTTACAGTTTTTTGAGTCGACCACACTACAATATTAGTTATGAGACTTGTGTATTAGCTGAGCCGAGAGTGACAAAATTATACAATATACTTCATTAACCCAAGAATAATCGGCAACTATCTGACCAACCACGGGATCAATTTTCCCCTGAGCCGGAAAAGGCCCTTAATTAGCCCTCAGATAATGAGCTAATATTGACTTGACTTTGATGTGGGGGGGGGGGGGGCGTGTGATGCCGTTTGTCACGACTCTTTGTGGGCTTCTGCATCCCACTGGTATTTGTGCATGTATTTCTCTTGTGTGTCGGTGGAGGAAACAATGGGAACAAATATAAAAGCAGCGAAGGAGACTCAGCCGCCTAATAAATAATACCTCATCAAACACGTCTTCTGTGCTGTTCTTGTTGTGCAGGGAAAGACGCCCGGCTGTATGTGTTCAGACTGAGCGTGTTGAAGAAAGGCCTGGAGGAGAAGCAGCTCATTAGGAGCAAGTGCGAGAGCCGCGAGAACAAGCTGGAGAAAACCAAAGGTACGTCGCACGCAATTATCGGCTAATGAATTTACATGTGGAACACTGGATTACATGTTGTAAGTAAGTAAGGTTTATTCATAGTAGTAAGTAAGTAAGTAAGGTTTATTCATAGTAGTAAGTAAGTAAGGTTTATTCATAGTAGTAAGTAAGTAAGGTTTATTCATAGTAGTAAGTAAGTAAGTAAGGTTTATTCATAGTAGTAAGTAAGTAAGGTTTATTCATAGTAGTAAGTAAGTAAGTAAGGTTTATTCATAGTAGTAAGTAAGTAAGGCTTATTCATAGTTGTAAGTAAGTAAGTAATCTTTATTCATTTTAGTAAGTAAGTAAGGTTTATTCATAGTAGTAAGTAAGTAAGGTTTATTCATAGTAGTAAGTAAGTAAGGTTTATTCATAGTAGTAAGTTAGTAAGTAATCTTTATTCATAGTAGTAAGTAAGTGAGTAAGTAAGGTTTATTCATAGTAGTAAGTAAGTAAGTAATCTTTATTCGTAGTAGTAAGTAAGTAAGTATTGTATTGTATGTACTTTATTTGAACAGGGACAGTGTACAGTTAAGCATTAACACAAAAGGAGAGATGCATGTACCAGGTTATAGCAGAGATGCTAATTTCCACCTGTAGTCCCTGGGCAGGCTGGTGTTATGTTCATTTAAACTGATTACAATGTAGATCAGGGGTCGGCAACCTAGGGCACGCGTGCCACATGTGGCACGCCGCGGAATAAACACTGGCACGCCGGCACCTCCGCATTATTCTCACTGTATCTGTCCTGTTTTAAAAATAAGAGCATCTCCCTTTTTGTCTGAGCGCTTTTTGGTGGCCGGCACTAGGACCCAGCGGACACCACCGCGGGGATAAGCTGCTTGCTTCCCTCACCGGTGTGTGTGTAGTAGTGATGTAAAGTTCGATTCATTTTACTGACTCGAGTTAAAGTGAATCACTCACCAAAGTGAATCGGGTGTTTTGAGTCATTTGATTCAGTGATTCAGTTGTTCAGAAAAAAACATACATGAACACAAAATAATGCTAAAATGGCAATTTACAATCAAAACATTTATTAAAGTTTGATAAATGGTAACAATAACAAATATGTAAACTAATTTGACAAAATATAAACTCTTTAAATTTAACTATTCAACAGTAAAATTGTGAACAAAGCAGCAACAACATTCCAAGCGAGGGGCTGTCACAATACAAGAAATACAATAACAATGCTGGCTAAATGCCGTCTCATATTTGATGTGGTCCCTCCTTGAAATGATAAAACAACCTTGCAGAGTTGACATTTTGCTCGTGATGGGCCTGTTATTTCAAAGTGCATCCAAATATCGCTTCTTCTGCGGCTACTATCCATTTTCTATAAAAATATTTAAAACTTTCCGGCAAAATGTGGTGTTACATAAATGTATTCCGGGCGGCACGGTGGCTGAGTGGATAGCACTCTCGCCTCTCAGCAAGAAGGTCCTGGGTTCAAATCCCGGTTGGACCAGGGCCTTTCTGAGTGGAGTTTGCATGTTCTCCCCGTGTCTGCGTAGGTTTCCTCCGGGTGCTCCGGTTTCCCCTACCACAAAAAATATGTACAATAGGTAGGCATGTGCCTCCTGTACTGGCACCCCCACTCCCAAAAAAATAACAATTGTAAACCGCTTTGAGACTCCGATGTGCAGTGAAAAGGCGGTATATAAATAAAAGCTTACTTACTTACTTACTTACTATTCCGTGTTAAAACCTACATTCCTGGTAAAAAAAAAAGGTCATAACAATTATATTATATAAATAATAAATACAAACAACTTTGATATTTTTCACACATTCATTTTTTATTGATGACAATCATTGTAACGCCAATAATGTTCGAGGCGGAACTCCTGTTGTCCGACGAGAGAAACACAGCTGAACAAATAACTTAATAAATAGCCAATTATATTTTTCAATCTACCTCACATAATACATGTAGAGGGTTATTATTTTTTGTCAGATGGGGCAAAAGAAACTACTTTTTTCAACCCAGTTAGAGAACGAGAGTTACGAGACGAGTCGGTGTCCTGTCCTGTTGTTTCGACTCGCTTGATGCTGAGTGAGTGAGTGAGTCAGATCCTATGAACGATTCGTTCAGAGCTGAACGACTCGAAGGGGAGCGGGAAGGGGCTGATCCAGAACCACAGTGAGTCGTTCACTGCTCGTACGGCTCGTACTAGCAGGCGCGGGCAGGCAGGAAGGAGGACGTTACGGTGAAGTAGATGGTTGTAAACAATAAGCTTTTGGTTTCTGTGCTCAAACGAGCTACAGTACACACACACACAGTCACACACGTAATATTAGAGTGTCATTCATTGTGGCTAGTAGAAAACGCAGTCTGGGGGTCGCAGTTTAGAAAGTGGTGGGCGGACGAGTTAGTGAACGAGTTAATGGAGGCGGGGAATCACGACTCCCGAGTCAGTAAAGTGAATCTCGAGTTTTGAACGATTCGTTCACGAATCGCACATCACTAGTGTGTAGCTGTGGGTGAAGCCAGGAGCCAGCAGCTGCAGGTTTATGCGAGATTTAAACTTCTTTTTGCACATTCAAAGTAGTAACTGGTGTGCCATTCACTGCAGACGCCTCCTACAATCACTGTGACACGCTGTCAACACTGTGTGCGTGAAATCAAAGAGGGAACTGGTGAGTTTAAGCATTTTTGTGCTGCACAGAGCTAGGATGCTAGCGCTAGCCTCTGATGCGATGTTGAATTCAAATATTGTTGTTCTCATGTTGATTCTCTGTGTAGCCGACTATGCCTTTTTATGTGCTCATGTATGGTTACCAGAGCATGACATTTGCTTGTGTGCTCTTGAACCAAAAGTATTAATACATTTATTTTTGATATGTGCACTGAACTGAATGAATTGTATTGTGATTTATGGTGCAGAGGATTAATTGTGAATTTTGAAGTGAGAATGAGCACTCTGATTATTGAGTATATATTTATTGTACATGTATTTTTGTAGTAGTGATATATTGCTAAATGAAACTGTTGGATATTTATATTGGTCCTGTCATGCAGGCCAGGTTCCTTGGATCCGTCCGTCCATATGGACTTCTTCTGATGGCGAGCTGCCCCAGGCCAAAAACCTAGAGATTGCCAACACTACAGTGCGGTAGGAGGCGAGCAGTCTCCCTCATACAACACCACAAACTGAGACAATAACCTGAACTGGATTACTGCAAAGTACACGCTCCACCTTTTCAAACCAACCTGCCAAACCCAACCCAACCGGACTCTCTCACTCAAAACCCGTTCAATTATTTTTTGTAAATATTGTAAATATCGTGATTGTGGGGTGTGTGTGTGTGTGTAATCTATCCCCTGCCTTTGTAAATATCTATTAGAGGTGCAACGGTTCATCACTGATCCGTGATCTGTTCAGATCAACGTCTTCGGTTCGGTACAGACGTGATCCGCGGTTTGATTTATGAAAAAAAAGTTGTGCGCATGTTGTTCAGTCCACACACAGCGTAATCATGGCAAGCGGAGGAACTTGAAAGCCCTGCGTCATTTAAATCCCCGGTATGAGAGCATTTTGGCTCCACTGTAACTATACTGATGATTAAAGAGTCGACACATTTAATCACTGATCCTCCTGCAGGTGCTGAGTCCACATGAGCAGAGTTTATTACAAAGACAAAACTTTTTAGTTGAAAAATGAACTGAACCGTGGCCTCTGAACCGAGGAACGATCCAAACCGGGATTTTTTTCAAACCGTTGCATCCCTAATATCTATCTCTTAACATAATTCACATCTGGATCATACCACTGTCTCTGTCTGTGATTTTAAACACCTCTCCCTCTGTGAGCCGAATCTTAGCTTCTGGTCTGAGCCCAAATACAATCAGTTTACTGGACTTAATATTGTTATATGCTACACTAGCTGTTTTTTCAGTCTTTGAAATGTTGATAGGGCTAAATTATTTTGAATACAGATACTGTTATTGTTGAGAAAAAAATTCCAGGTATATTGGAAATGTTTATGTATTTTGTGTCATATTTTAACTGCGTTCATCGATGGTAATGGCACACTAGATGAGAACATTTCAAACTGGCACTCCATGTCACAAACGTTGCCGACCCCTGATGTAGATGGATAATGACTGTGTCTTACATTTACAGGCTTTGAATAACATCATTCACAAAAACATAAAGTTTAATAACAATAAATAAAGTTCCCCAATTTCTACTAGAATATTACACTCACTCACTCAGTCACTCACTCAGTCACTCACTCAGTCACTCACTCAGTCACTCACTCACTCACTCACTCACTCATGTAAACTTGCTTTTTCAGAAGCCATTTCTTAGGCCCTGTCCACACGAAGTCAAGCTCAGGCCTAAACGCAAAAATACTTTATCAATCCAGTGTATCGTCCATACGAGGCCGGCGTTTTGGGGGGGTGTAAACGAACATTTTTGAAACTAGGTCCCAGAGTGGAAAGATTTCAAAACTCCGTATATGCCGCTCCGTGGTTACTGCCTCTCCGCAATGTATCTGAGACGCTTGCGTCATCGCCCCGCCTCTTGTTAAAGCACGCATGCGCCGCACTCAGAAAATAATGACAAGAACAATGTAGCTTGTTGGTTTTGTAATCCAGTGTGACCCGAAGCAACAGTTCAACCTCATCGTCCGTCCATACTAATGTAGTACCAGCTCGCCCACTCGCCATGTTGTCTGTTTACAAAATTCCGCGCATGCCCACGGAAGTTTGGGCTTGATCCCGTCATTGCGTCACAGCGCCACCAACAGGTCTGGCATAGTTTCACAGCGTTTTCAGGCGTATTGACTACATTCATATGGACGCACACATTTACTGAGCTAACTCCGTGTTTACAGAAAAAGTTTCTGAAATTATAAGCGTTTTGTCTTCGTGTGGATATAGCCTTAGTCAGCCAAGAAAATGTTTTAAATGTAGTACACATAATGACCTCTGGGGGCAGTGTGTTCCACTGACTCATGGCCGTCACAGA